CGGCACCGCCCCTCCTTCGGCACGGCCCCGCCTTCGGCACCGCCCCTCCTTCGGCACGGCCGGGGAGACGGCACCGCCCCTCCTTCGGCACCGCCCCTCCTTCGGCACCGCCCCGCCGTCGGCACCCGGCGGGCGGCGCTGGGCGTGCGGCGGGCCCGGCCCTGGCCCCGCCCTGGCCCCGCCGGGGGCTGTGGCTGCTGCCGTGTGGGCGGGTGTCCGCACCCTCTGCACCGCCCTTGTGCAGAGCAGCGCGCCGGGTGACCGCGTCCTGTTGCTGACGAGGTGGCCTCAGGGCAATAAAGATTATAAAGATTAATTTATTTTTTTTTCTCAGTGTTTCCGTTTTACGAAGGTGAGCCCACTCACCTTCTGTCAGGCCAGAGCCACAGCAAGCAAACACCCAGATTGAAGATGCGGATGGATCCTGCGGCCAGCAGTGGAGGAAGAATGCATGCTGAGGGAGGGCAAAGATGCCTGTGGAACAGACGTGTGAACTCTCGCTGGAGTGCGGCTGACTGGGGTTCAAACTAAAATTGTGAATAAACGCTATGTTAGATTTCACACAGATTTGTCTCCTTCACCTGCAGCATCCATTATCCGTGCTTTTTCTAGTATCTGGGAGATGCTGGGATGGATTTGGGATAAAATGAGGTGCAGCTGTGTTGGTGGGACCTTGGCACCTTCTACAGGTCTCTTCCCAGTTTAGCCAGCCTTTTAACTGCTAAAGAGCAATAGTTACAAAACAGAGCCCTCCGACTGTCTTACAACAAAGATACACCCTCCTGTGGAGTTACTGCCTGTTGATTTCACCATCCTGCACTCTTTCCTCGTGTTTACAGGATGAGATTTTAGATGAGAATGCTAGATGAGACCTAGTGGTGAAAAAAAACAACCTCTTGCCTTAATTATAGCTGGAGTTCTAATTTTTAGAGGTCAATACTATCATTAAGACAACATTTGCATCTAAATTAATACTTGGTTGACAGCTGTGGCAAGTCACAAACATGTCAGGAGGACCCTTCTTATTCTTTTAGACTCAAGTACATTAGTTAGCCTCTTAGTCCTTCTGTTCTGTGTCTGATATATTTATGAATTGGAAAATATATGTTGTAGATGAAGCTTTCTGAGTTGGTGACAAACCTTAAATTGAGGTAAGTTACAAGTATAAACACAGCAAGTAATTGTGAAGGACAACAAATGAGATGGTGTCTCACATATAGCAGCTGGTACTCAAAGTCACATACTTGTTGGGGTTGGAAGGAACCTGTGGAGATCATTCAGTCCAATCCCCTTGCCAAGGCAGATTCACCTGAAAGAAGTGACACAGGAACAAATTGAGGTGGGTTTTTCAGAGAGCAAGACTCCAGAACCATCCTGGGCAATCTGTTCCACTGCTTTGTCGCCCTCAACGTAAATAAGTTCTTTCTCAAGTTGAGATGGTCATAAAAGAGAAATATTCATCTATTCATGGCTTTGGCTTTCAGACTTCTTAAGGACATTGAGGTGTCGGAGCATGTCCAGAGAAGGGCAGTGAAGCTGGTGAAGGATCTGGAGTATATGTCCTATGAAGAGTGGCTGAGAGCTGGGGTTGTTTAGCCTGGAGAAGAGAAGGATCAGGGGAGACCTTATCACTCTGCACAACTGTCTGAAATGAGGCTGTAGCTGGGTGGGAGTCGGCCTCTTCTCCATGACAACCAGTGACAGGATGAGAGGAAATGGCCTTAAGCTATGCCAGGGAAGATTCAGGTTGGACATCAGGAAGAATTTATTCATGGAAGGGGTTGTTAAGCATTGAAATAGGTGGCCTAGGGAAGTGGTGGAGTGAATGTTCCAGAGGATGTTTAAAGAAATTCTGGGTGTGGCACTCAGTGACATGGTCTGGTTGTCACACTGTGATGTTTGGTCAGAGGTTGGTCTTGATGATCTCAGAGGTCTTTTCCAGCTTCATTGATTCTGTGATTCTTTAGCTCCCTAACCCAAACAATCTCATGGCTAGACATAATCAGACTCTTATCCTTCAAGTGTCAAAGATTATTTAATCTGCTGTGTTTAGATAAATTTATCCATATTCAACCTTTTTATACTATGACATGCATCTTTCATTCTTTGCTCCTTTAGTAGTTGCTCTTTGGAATTCTCTAACATTTTCTTAAGAATAAAGTGCACAAAAGAAATCTTAGATGAGTTACATAAATGTTTAAATGGCTTTACAACATGGTGTTTGTCAGAACAGGTATTTTGGAGTACCCATATATTTAAGGAAGAAGGCATTTAAAAGTGTATGTAAAATCATTTTCTGAAACAGACTAAGCTAAAGGAGCAAAAGGAGTTTTCAGGAACAGCACTTTAACTTAGTTATATATTTGGTTAGCACAATTAAGCTGGTTAGCTTAATCTACCACTAACTACTGCAGTAGTTAGACTACTGTACTGTGTCTCTGCCAGTAAGACTGAATTCTTACTTCAGAAATTTGAGGCCCAGATGGAAAATGAAGAGACATATAAAGAAAATCATTGAGAATAAAACTTAACTTAAAGGTTTTCTTTTATCACTGACAATGATGCTGTGTGTATAATTCAGAAGTAGACATGTAAAAATATATCTCTTCAATAAGCTCTGCAGAATAATTTTTAATGGAGAGGATGCAAGATTCATGGACAGGTTTCATTAAAGGGTTTAATGCAGTTTTTTACAACATTAGTTTAAATTGGCCTTTATCCAAATGCTGATTGATAGATTGAAATGTTCGAGGAAATATGATGATTTATGGCATTATATTAAGATTTATGACAGAAATGTATAGTGGTGCATCACAAAGAAAAGGTGAGATTTTTTTTTAGGATATGCATAAAAATAGTGCTGAGCAAGTGATACTCAAAGCTACGGGTTTGACTGGTGAGCACTGAAAATGAATTCTTTTCTTTATCACCTTTACCATCTTCATCCCAGTGCCAAAATAGAGTGTGAGTCCTTCTGTCCAGAAGTCCATGCAGGTTCCTGTGCCTGAGGATACCAGGTCCATTGCAGAACATATGCAACCGTGGCTCAGAATTCTGAGGAAAATGCTAAGTTGCAGGAGGAAAAAAAATACCTATCAGAAGGTCTGAAGAGGAGATTAATGTGAGATGAGAAAGCTGAAATTTCAGACAGGGTAAGACAAGGGAAAGCACTGTCAGAGGGAGGCATGGCTGTGGCTGTGCTCCAGGGAACTGTAGGAGCTGCCCTTTCTCCTTCCTGACTTTTGCCTGCCTGGCTGGAGACTCTGCATGTGTCTAATAAAAGGTGGTGAGCACATTAATGCCTAACCTAATAGTGATAATTTGGGTATGAAAACCAATAAATAATTTTTAACTTTGAGCATGTTCTGTTCACAGAATCACTTTATGCTTGGCTAAAGTGTCCAAACAGGAACACAAAGAAGAATGACTACAGGACACAAAAGATGACAGTTAAAGCATTTGTGGCAATTTTATTCCCAAAACTTCAGTTCAAAAGAAAATACATGCTCCCAGATTAAAAAAAAAAAAAAAAAAAAAAAAAAAAAAAAAAAACCAAAAAAAAAAAAAAAAAAAAAAAAAAAAAAAGATGGTTTTGGAAGGAGACTGGTGATGCTTGGTCCAGCCAAGAAGTCAAGAAAAGTTTTCAAAAAACAACCGAACAAATGAAACCACAAAACAGAGGCTCAATAATGCCAAGGGATTCATTGAGGAAAAATAATCAATTAAAAAGTTCAAGGAATCATTATAAATTTGCAAATATTTGGCAGATTTTTTCATATGTTGAAAATTTTCTTTAGAATTTTCTTAGTAATCTTGTGAACTATTGAATATAACATGCGAATATTTAATAAAATTGGGAATAATCACAGCAGGGATAGTGTGTTTGTACTTTTGGTCTTTTTCAGCTTTTTTTCTATTTTTGCTTGCTTTTGTCACAGCTGAAGCCACATATATAGTTGAGAA